TTAGGTTTGAGATTTGTTGCTCATCATACAAAATATTCTAGGCTAGTTGATCCTCCCAACGCCTTTCTATTAGAAAATGCATCGATATTATGGCGAGAAATTACTTTTTTGGCCACCTTTGAAGGCAAAAAGGTTGACATTATTATTTCGTCATTTTGATCCTCAAATTATTTCCTGAACACACTTGATCAATCCGTTAAACATGCTCTTACGAAGGGATATAATGATTTCAGCGTCTCTTTCGTTTTTTCTTTCTTTCTTTCTTTATTTTTTTTGATTAGTTAAACCATGTTTTTTAGATTATATTGGCTCTAACATAAATGCAAACTTAACTTGTAAATATCTGATAAACCTCAGCTGTAAACCATGACATGGGCCGGATAGTAAAATGTAGTAGATAGAGTGTACAAAATGTAAAGCATGGCCAGTCGATGGACTACACTGACAACAGCACATGACTTGTAACATCTGATAAATCTCGGCTGTAAACCTTGACATGGGTTAGACAGTAAAACTTAGTAGATACATCAGTTATACAAAATGTAAAGCATGGCCAGTCGATGATCGACGTGGACAACAGTGCAACCCAGAATTTGAGATATTTTCAAATGAGTAAGGCACAAATGGTTTCTCATGTTTAAAACTTTTGAGGTTCTTGGCTGTTGGCCTTATACTGATGGCTTGGAAGCAAAATGTTTTCCATGAAGCGAAAGTCTCGGAAACATAAATTTCGAATATATGAGACTGACATTGAATGTATTTTCTGTTGCACAATGTTGAATGTTTGATATCTCTTCTCAGAAGTTTTTCTGAAATGCTCGAATGTTTTAGCTCGTAATGTTGTGTATTTGTAACCGACTTTCAAGAAGAAATGAGCGTTTATCCAACCACTTTTGTGTTTTTATCTGTGTTTGTAAATTCAATGTATAATGTAAAATGGAGTGCAGATTGGACCCTGGCAATCACCCTAGTTTTCATTGCGACTAATAATTTGTTTACTGCAGACTTTTTTTTTCTGCTTTTTGTTGTTATTGTCTTGTTTTTTAACTTCGCTTTAATGCAAAATCTACGTTTTCTTACCAGGAATTCCTACTAGTTCCATTTTCTTGTGCCCTGCAGTAACGCCTTGGAAGACAGCGTTACCCACTGTTGGCTACAATAACCCTGGCATTCGGCTCTATAAGTATGACAGAGGCACCATGAACGTTAAGGTAATGAGCAAAGCACCCCCTTGGAAATAGTGATCATGTGCACCAGAGCCCTGTGAGCATTAGCTTTTATGTAAATAGTGGCTTGTAAGTCGAGTGGACTTCACCAAACGGATGTGCTGGCGTAGCAAACTGGACGCTCTTCTTTCCACAAAGGGTCTAAGGCTACGACATATTATAGAAGAAGAGAACACGTTTAAGCTCTTTATCTCGAAAATAAACTCGGGCTGAATTTGCGTGGAATCTATTTTTATACCCTCCAGAGTGTCCCGGCTCCTCGAGTTATCTATCCTCGTTTCTTTTTTGTGCATCGTCCCTATGGTTACTTCTTTCCGTTGTTTCCAAGTTCTCTTCACCTTGCGATGTCCTTCAGTTTCATGATATTTTTTTGATCAGCGTTTGAAAAGATGCACCTTACCACGCCGTGACGTGGCCCCTTGAAGAATGAAGTACCCACCCAAAGCTTGCCTTTACTTCTTTCATTTTGAATGAGGGATCTTAGGCTGAATTAAGCCCTCCCCTTATTCACCCCACCCCCCTCAAAGTAGGCTTTAGACTATATTTATCGGTGAAAATGAAACTCAAGCGGAACTTAACCAAAGTCTTTCCCCTATACCGCTCTGTCTGACCCAATTTGATCCTTTGGTCTTTCGGAGGAGAATAGTGCTCCCTAATCACCTTCAAACTAGCCAATCAGCACCCGCGAAAAGCAGTATTTACCTGTATGGTATATGCTAACATTAATAAGAAATCTATTCGGTGATGTGACGCTCTTGGACATTTTTACAAAACATTTCTCGTCCATTTCCCCGTTTCCTGGGATAATTCGCTAAACATGAGAGGCAGAAACAAATTTTTCAAAAAGGTCAAAGAGACCGCCGCAATGTGATGGTTTGGAACTTTTATGGCTGTCTAGAGGAACCTCGTCGATACATTTGCCTCGATGTCCACGACGAAGAATGCCCTTCAAAATTTTAGTAATGTGAAGGAAAACGCCAGAATGACAATCTAAGCTGTGAACTATTTTGCACTAAGCACAATAAACAAAAGCTTATTGTATGCCGTCTTAGCTTGAGTGAGTTTATTGGTAATCCCGAACTATGAAAGGAAAATAACACCCTACATATTATTACATATTTACATTTATATAGCGCAGACTTCTATGTGGATATACAAAAGACTATCAGCGATGGTTGTTTTAAGGAATGAGTGTCATGGGACGATGGAAAAGGCAAGATAAGAGTTAAACAAGTGACTCAACTGTGCTCGTCGTACCAAAAAATTATCTTTCAGAACTTTTAATGTTGGTAATTTAAAAGTACTACAGAGATAAGTCATACAATCAGGTACGACTGAATTATCAAAAGCTGCTTAGAAAATCATAAAAACGTCAAGAACTATTTTCATTGTAGTTCTTTTTTTTTAAAAAAACTTCAATTAGCTCGCGAAAATAGCTCCCAACCTAAGAGCTACCTTTAAACCTGATGAGAAATGCTGTCTTATCGAAAAAAGTTGCACACAAGGCGAAGTTAAGAGTGATGGTCAATGATGTGTTCACCGAACTTTGACGTTTTCTGTGACCCATTATGGTAAAGACCCACGGTAAGATAGAATATAGTTATCTTATATGACAAAAAAGCAAATTGTTGTTAAAGGTGACGTCACTTATGCGTATGTCCTTCGATCGAGCATGAATAAGAACAATCTAAATACGAGTACAATTCACATAGATATCATATACATAGATACAATATACATATTTAAGCAAAGTCGTCATATTCACCGGTCAATTACAAAACGTGAATTTTTATAACACTTCGTGCCGCCCAATTCGCCGTTCTAATAATCATACCCGTAATTAATAAGTGGGACTCCCGCTGCACGGTCGTCCGATTTGTTAATCACTCGTATGATTACAGACCGAATCGGACCCTAAGCAGTCCTATTATCATCACTAATCGATTAGAGAACAACTTGTTCTTGCGTTCGGAATCGTGCATTTATCGGCCAGCTACATTCATATATGAACTCAAGATCGATCAAGAGAGAGAGTGCAGTACTTAAAATAAGAGGGTGTTTTTAAACAATTTCTTATTTAGATTTAAGAAAATTACAACATGCCCAACTTTTTCCTTCAGTGGGTGAATAAAGACGTTGACGCAAGACATGTCAAACAGTTTAGTCAAGCCAATATTCAATCTTCATTGCAATACAAAGTTCGGCCTGGTATGTGCATATCATTGAAGAGCGCCGGATTGCCGAGATTGTATTTTCCTCCAGTGAAGACACCTCAGCATCTATAAAAAGCAAAAGGAAATAAAATGAAAATGGGCTGTGGTCGCTAAGTTTTGCCTTTACTTCTTAATCTTAGAACCAAAACCTGAGTAGATCAGTTTTGACTTTTCGTTGGTGGTGTTTTAATGAAAATGAAATTCTTTTTAAATCTTAAATATATATTTTCCAAGCAAGGATGAGTGCGTTACCTTCATAGTCCAAATCACAAAAAAGTCACTTGCACACTTATTTAAAACAGACGACATTATGGTTACGCCGGTAACCACAAAAAATTGTAGTTCAGCAGTGACAAAGGGCAACAGGACCCCTGAATGGGAAGTTAATAGCTGGCCTACGCTCCGAAGGAAAAGAAAACAGATTAAATGAGAAAATGAAAGCAACTCAAAACTGTATCGCCCAACTACACCGCTGATTGAGTCTAACATTTATGAATTTCGTACATGTTTCTTGGTAGACAGGTTTAACCGGGTTTGCTAAAGTTCTCGGTATTGTATTGATTTTTACTCCAAACTTTTAATGCAGAAAAGTAGAATACTCACGTTTTGTACTGTAGAAGGAGTGACTGGTTGGGTTGGCGCAATTATACCGTGAGAAGGTTTATTGAAATATAATCCAAGTTCTTCCGGGAAAGGCGTCTTATTATCAAGCTGCCATAGTGGCCCTGGTCGCAAAGGTTCGGGCAGAAAAGCTGTCCCAGTGAATACGCTTAAACCTTTCACAAAATTAAACTTTTCAATAATCTAGGAAGACTTTGAACCTAAGAAAGAGATATTGAAAATTCTGGAGAAAGATAACACTTGATTGGCCAGTTACAATTCGACAATAAAAAATAGGGGTCTCCAAATTCGTTTTTGAGCCACATGCATCTTAGTATAAAATTTAGAGTTCTTCCAGGAGGATTTAACTTGTCCAAAGCAACTTCTTAGCACGGGGAAGATTCTTCTCTAGAGCAGTGTCGATTGAGATTAGCCTGTAGTACAGGCATCTAATTACGGCGAGTTGAAGTTACAAGCTTGCGATCATTTACTCGACCGGCCATGTTTGACTTTAAGTTAGAGTGGATGGTGGGGCAAGTGGCGGGAAAAGGCGAGAATTTCTTTTCCCCAACCCCTCCCCTCTCCTTCGTTTTGATCGTCGTTTACCCCGTTCGTAAAAATTTCTTTCCCTTCCCAGTATTTCGCTTCTGTAAAATCAAAGATCGCATCTTTAAAATTCACCAAGAAAATACTGAGCCAATTACGCCTGTCCTGCAGTGCATGGACTGTAGAATGTAGAAATTCAGCCAATACACAGTAAGCCGAAAGCAAAACTATGACCTAGCAATGGGAAGGGCTTGACGAATCAAGAAATAGTAGAGTGACTGACACTTACCAAAATTATTTCCTGTTATCACTTTGCCATTCGAATCCGTGAGAAAGTCCACCTTCGGAATTTTGCCTCTACACACGAATTGAAACAAAATGAAAATTGAAGTGATAGACACATAACGCTTCTGCCACTGCCTTTTATTGAAACTTTTATCCCCTGTGAGACGAGTTATAACTACGATCTATAATTGCAACACGTTCTAAGATAAACAATATGTAAACTTTTGTACACCGGAAAAGATTGCCTAAAAAGTGAAAACTTTCGCCTAGACCTCTAGCCTTAATAACTCAGTAACCTCGCCTAAAGTGGCGAGGTTACCGGATGTGTGAGTTCGTGCCAGGATCCCAACCCCTCTAATTCTAGTTCGTCCCTTCAGCAGATTGCTCTATACTGCTGGAAGGTTGTAACTTCCCCCGTCACGATTCAGGGTGGGGCGGTTAAATTTGATGTTTATCGCTTTTTTCACACCCCTTTCGAACCACTTCGGCGCAATCGTTAACATCTTAGAGGACTCGATGTTGACTCCATGGTCTACCATTGCGGTGTGTATTTGGCGAGAAACCTCGGCAGGGGTGGAACTTGGTCCGCGCGCGATGCTCGTCGCTCTGTGTTTTAAAGGACCGTTTAGTTTCTCCCATATAGCTTGCCCCACGACAATTACAAGGGATGTAATAGACCGCTCCCCATTACATATGACCCATCCTTTCACTTAGAAAAAAGAGGGCATTTTTATGAAATATTTACATTTTCACTATCAAGTTTAAATTTCATTGACCATTTTATGTAATTCCCCAATGCTTAAAGCAGCAATTTTTACTTCCTATAAGTGATCATATGAGACTCTTGAAGATCAAAGATTCAGATGCCAAGAATTTAAAATGGTTTCCCTTGTCTATGAGGCGTGACATGCACACTATTAATTTAACTTTCAAATGCTTAAAGGGATCCCCTCCAATGTATTTTAAAGATTGTTTTAAGGTTTTTAGAACTATCCACGATACGAGGGTAAGTGGGAAGAACTTAATGCTTCCCAAAGTGAGAACTGAGACTGCAAGGAAGTCTTCATTAAAGGGATCAAAACTTTTTAGCGAAATCCCTAATGAAATGAAGGAACTTAAATCAGTCATGATTTTCAAAACTCCTATTTTAAAGTTAGTAGCTGTTTTTTAGGCTTCTTAGGCTCTTTTCCTCTTTTTTTTTATGTGCGGGGTCCTTATTGATATCAGCATTTTATGCTGAAGAGGTCACTTGGTTGAATAACAATTATTATCATTACTATTATTATTATCATTATTATTACATAACCAATAACCTTCTAGAATATTGTTATAGTTTTGACTCAGGAACTTGTAAGAAAGATAATAAGAGATCACAATACAAAATTTCATGCAAACATTTTTAGCCAGAACTGGTTGTGATGAGCATAAAACAGGTGAATAATCTAATTTAAAAGTTGGAAGTACAGACTGTATTAGGTATACCTAGAAGAATGCCCAACCTCACTTTATTCCAGTGTCTAAAATAAAGATTGTCTATACATAATCCTTCATTGGTTAAGAATTTTTTCCAGGAAAAGGGAAAACAAACTATGAGACCTGTTGAAGGAGAAAAAAAATATTAAGATCTCCTTTCCTGAACGATTAATGCAGTTTCCTCCAACATTTCTTGGAACATGGGGTAGATGTGGAAAACTGTTCAAAAGCATGCCTTTCCATTTTAAAGGACTGTCCAATCCCTAAAAAACAATTATCCTTGAGAGCCAGCAAGAATGACCTAAAGGTGTTGCTGATCATGAAATTAGAGACTTTGCAAAAGATACACATTGGACTATTGCTAAAAGCGTATTGTGAGTTTCGCTATTTCTTACAAGAGTCTACACTTGATTCCAAAAACGCAGACCTCTAAAAAACGTAAGCAGTGGACAGACACCCAATAACTTTATAGTTGCACATAAAAACAATAACAACAATTAATTTTATGCGGTATATAGCAGCAGAAAGAATTGTGGTCATCAATGAAAAAATAAAGCATTGATCTTGTAACTATGCAAACATATCCAATAAAGCCATTGGGCCTCATTGTTCAGGATCATACCACTTGCAGTTCATGTCAACATTTTTGCAATCAAGCGTATGTTTGAGCTTGAGCCTCCTGTGTAGAAATATGACAAAAGTGTTAGCAATGTGCTCCCTAACAGCATTACCAGTTTCACGGCCATGGTACTGACTGTGAAGGTCAGCAGTACACCCTTCATCGTCCATTTCACAGTCCTCTGGATCTGGTTCCCTTAAAATTATAGCAAGATTGTAGAAGTTAAGGTACTGGTCAATGTGGGTATCTTTGCTGAACACCGTTGGTTTTTAATGAAGCCGTCCTCCTTGAGGACTGTTACGGTGTCAAGAAAGCGAGAGTCCTCTATTGGTAGCCCTGTGGTGTAGAGATGTTTGTGGCTGCGTTAACTGGTTTCGAAATAACTTCTCCCTCCGTTTTCGATTTACTAAAGTGCCAGTGAAATTCCTAGGTTCTATGTTTTAAGATGGTTAGGTTATAAAGAAACAAAATAAAAATGACGTCACAATTTGTCAAAAACATCTCTTCGGACTGCTGCCAGAAAGTCGTCGGTAAAAGTTTCGTGAGTCTTTACCAGAAAGTTTCGAAAGTTGCCAGTATGTCACATTTTGTTTACCGAGCGCTCAAGTATTTATCTTTTTATCTATCTCATTCATGAACTTATACTGGCAAAAAAGGAAGAAATCAATCGTCAGCAGTCAAAGCAACCCGCCTTTAGGACCTTCCCGGCAATTCATCGGGGCTCACTTCCTTCGGGAAACGCTTCCGAACCGTAAAGTCACTGTAAATAAATCATAGTTTGTGAATATCAAATCCAGTTGTTTATCAGTACAGCAAAGTAATGCTTCTATTTGGTCTATGATGAAGATATGAAAAATTTGATGGCTGATAATGGCTGGTTATTCTGTAGACAAAAATCTTGCTTTTTTATGACTGACTGATGATTATACTTCGGCCGCGACCGCATTTTAATCTAACTCCCTTTCACTTCCCTTTCCCTTGCGCAAAGCACTCCATGCGTGACCTCTTCCCTCCTCACTGACACTCTTCCAAATATTCTTTGTATCTGGAGGGAGAGTCAGTGAAAGGAACTGGAAGCAACAGTCCGGCTTTGAGACAACTCAAAAGCTAAAGATAGTTGAATCCTATTTAGTTTTATATAAATAGGCTGGATATAGGGGATGAACGGTTGCAAATTTTATCTATTTAGGTGGCATTCCACGATAACTATGATCAAGCCGAGATGGACCGCTACAAACTACAGCGAACCTTATGTCACGTTCTAGATCGATGAAAACATCACTGTCCGCCTGTGCGCTTTAATTGAAACGTGGTGGATTATTGTGAGTTTGAAACATACACGATACCAGTAAAACTCGTCCTAAACCTCCCTGTTGCAGGAATAGCTCAGTGATAACCAGCTTGCTAGTTTTACTCGATCAAGGTCAACCTACTACATTTGATTACGGCATGATCGAGTTCGAAAAGCGGAAATGCTTCAAGTGAAACCGACCGATGGGCAGATATTATTATATTATGTTGGCAAAATTTTGGCCATAATGCTGTAGTCACAGAATCGAGCATACTGCCGGCGTAATGACTTGACTTCCTAAAAAAATCCCTTGAATTCACAGTTTAACCAGAGATAAATTCGATAGCCAGAGTAAAGTAAGTAAAGTCTTTTCTTGCTTGCACTCCAGGTATTTGATCCGAGTAAGATGTTGTGGTTTGACTTTTCAGTAAACCTTTTATCCTTACCAAGAGGCTCTTAAAAGCTAAAATGGTAACGCTCAAATTTTGGAGCACGATGTGTGACCCTTCCGCATACGCGGCATCGTATGGATTACTAGTGTTTGAATTTGTTTAGATCTGCACGGAAGTCTCTTAACCAAGTTGAAATTTTTATCATCGCCGACCTGTAAACTTACTTCCGAGCAACTTAGCCTGTTTGTATCAAAACACTGACGAGTCTAGGCTTGATTATGAAGTTCTATTACGCTTTTGAACAAAATAGATTGCATTCATTACGAACACAGGTTATGGACATTGATCGACATTACGACTTCCCTTATCTTGTTAATCCGGACATCCTTATACGCCTAACGTAGACCAGGCAACTCATTCAAAGAACTATGACAAAAATTAGCCCAAACAGGGATTCTGCAAATAATACGACTTTTTAGCCTGTCGTTCCTGTAAAGAGGAAGCTGCTCCGGTGCTTCAGTCACCGACCTTAAGCCCTTGGTATTCTGCACTTATAGTTTATTCAAATCATAAGGTTTAGTATTTGAATAAAGTACGAGGTGCATTGGGCTCCAAAAGCTAAGTGCTTTTTCCTCACGAACTACTTTTAATATATGAGCGAAGGATAACGGTCCTTGATGTCATTTGTGAGTGAATCTGGTCGTCGTGTGTAATTTGCGGCTCTGACTCACAATCATGGCGGTTTACCGTGATGATCATGGCCTCGTCGATCATTCAATATTCGACCCATTATGACCATTTAACAGGTCGAATAAATTTCTTATCAATAAAGATTTAGAAATGCAGACTAGCAAAAACTAACGATAAATACCGACGTTTCGGTGTCATCATGACGCCATTGTCAAGGAGAAATAAAAAATAAAGTTTGTGGCAAGGTGTAACACTAAATTAGCATAAATATGTTACGAGCTAATTAAACAAATACTTTTGCGCGAATTGAATCGCTTTGCACGTTCAGAGTGGGTTTTAAGTCTGATGAAAAGCATTTCGTTCACCAAACAATCGAACTTGTTACTACACTTTTTCAGAATGCTAAAACGTTTCAGTAGGTCTTTCGGGACTTCGCTGTGCCGTTCGTTGCAGAAATATCTCAGTAGGTTACATTGGTGCATCATGAAACTTCAAGGAAAATTTTTTTTTCATTAAATGGAGAGCTTTTTATCATTTAAATCAGCAAATTATGTAGATCCAATTTAGGTATAATCTTTTCAGTTCCTGCTGTGACAGATCATGACACTACAAGGACTTGCTGTGACACTTTGGAAGACAGCAGAAAGGGATAAACATCTCGCCATCATTTCAGAATTGTGGGTGATTTAAAACAGAAATTTCCCTCGTAGAAATATCTTAATAGGTGTGATTCATGTATCATAGAACTTTCAGGAAATATGATACCTGGAGTTATTCTATGGAATGATGGAATCGAGGAATGCTGGATCGGCAGAATATGTTAAGATGCAGAATGACAGAATATCTCAAGGAAAAGTTTCAAAAAATGGAATGGCAATAAAATGAAAAATTACTTCCATTCAGCAGGGGAATTTAAAAGAAGTATAGTCAATCTTTGTTGAACCTAAGGGGATAGGGGAACCATGAGGCTTTCAGGCCAATCCTTTAAATTGTTATGTTACCATTATTATCATAATTGTAAGTATTATAGTTTGTAACCATTTCAATCATTGGTTGAATGTCAATTAGACAATTTATTCTTGAATCGTCTTTCTCTTGTGGAACAGGATTCTTATAAATAGTTATGTGAAATGCAGCAGGTTTTCTCTTTAGCTTTTGAGACAAATATTGTGGAACACTACAACCTCTAGTTCTTTTTAATGCTACAAAAATTGTGCTCTACTAGTAGCTACATGAAGTTGTTGACTGTCTATTTTTAAAGATTAATTGAGCTCAAGCAATTAATTATTCCCAAGAATTAGTAAGAATAGAATACAGTGTAGAGTTGTGTTTAAGTGAGCATCATTTTCTGGGTAGAGTCTGATGTAACTCATGGCATGACTATATTATCTCTTATCTAAACAGGAGACCTAAATCTACAACACCTGCCATCTTGTTTTATTCTGACTTGTAATCAAAGCATTGTTTCCAGGTCGTTCACTGTAAAGATCAATCTCTTTATAGGTTTTAGTTTGGGCTAGTAGTAATCCAAAAGTGGATTGGTTAAAAGTAATACAGCCCTAAATCAGTTTTATTATTTTGAATCAGGGTTGTCATTAGTAAAATTAATATCTAAAGTGAGTAGCTGGTGGTTAAATTGAATTCCCCCCAGTATGCTTGCACACATGTAGAAAGCATGGCATGCTGCAATTAAGGAACATTCCCCTCTAGTGTATACTCTCTTCAAAAAATTTTAGATTTAAAATTCATTGAGATGTGATTTTTGGAGTTTTTTGGGAACATTTGAGTAACTTTTTTTAGCCAAACATTGATGTTAAAATCAGTTCAAAAATACTTAATATTTTCTTTCTTTGATCACATTTCATAAAGTAGCTGGTGCAAAATGGTCTGGTCTACTGACAACCCTATTGAGTTTAAATTGTTATTTCCCTGTATTCTTCACTGCTTGTAATTCCTCTTGATTCCCATTGAATAAAACTTTCTTTTAGGAATCATCCCTTCATAGTGTAGCCTCTACATCACAGGAAAGCCCAAGTTTGATGGAGAGTGAAGTGCTAAGAGTTACTCTATTGCGTAGTGAATGGAGGTCATCAAAAGGAGACTTGTCAACCATCAACAGGGAGTTTGCAATTCAGTTAGCAAAACATCCCAATGTTGATGTCAGTGTGTATGTTCCAAGATGTAGCGAGGAGGACAGGAGAGCTGCCAGGAGCCATGATATTCAACTGATTGAAGCCCAAGAATTGCCAGGTCATGATCAGCCAGTGGATTGGTTGGCTTCTTTACCTGAAGGTCATCATCCGCACTGTGTCATAGGACATGGAGTGCATCTGGGTCGACAGATACCACTCATTCAAAAGCAGCAACCCTGCAAGTGGATCCAGGTAGTTCACACAGCTCCAGAAGAACTTGGAATGTTCAAAAGTTATGAAGAAGCCATTTTCAGAGGTGAGAAGAAACATNNNNAGCCCAAACAGGGATTCTGCAAATAATACGACTTTTTAGCCTGTCGTTCCTGTAAAGAGGAAGCTGCTCCGGTGCTTCAGTCACCTACCTTAAGCCCTTGGTATTCTGCACTTATAGTTTATTCAAATCACAAGGTTTAGTATTTGAATAAAATACGAGGTGCATTGGGCTCCAAAAGCGAAGTGCTTTTTCCTCACGAACTACTTTTAATATATGAGCGAAGGATAACGGTCCTTGATGTCATTTGTGAGTGAATCTGGTCGTCGTGTGTAATTTGCGGCTCTGACTCACAATCATGGCGGTTTACCGTGATGATCATGGCCTAGTCGATCATTCAATATTCAATCCATTATGACCATTTAACAGTTCGAATAAATTTCTAGTAGAAAATTCTGAATCAACAATACTGCGAAAACTAGATGGCTTTAATGTAATACTTCATAAAAGTAGACGGCAGTTTTACTAACCTCTCACTTTCTTTGTTAAAATCCGAATTTGACATGATTCTTGGCGGCTTGTTTATAGCCTGGTCCTCTCCTCCTTTCCTTACTAACGAAACTCCTTCAGCGGTTTGCTGATTAAAAGTTAACACGAATTTTTCATCTCCTCTCACTTGCATTAATCGTTGAGCGCCGGCCATTTTAAGTTTTCCTAGAATTAGCTTTGCCAGTCTGGTGTCACGCACACTATTATATTCTTCCTGCTTGTGTTATCCGCGTAGGAACCGGTGGGAACTTGAATCTCGACTAAGGCTTAGGGCCTTAACTCAAGTAAGTAAAGGAATTAAAAATTTCCAAAAATTAAAAAAAAATTGAAAAAATACTTTTTTGATATTCGAGAGTCTCTCTTTAACATAGGCTAACTAATACACGGGGACAGAAAACGTTCCTGCGTGTCACGTGATACGAAAGTTATTAGTATTCTATTCATGAACATTCATGTTCATGCTCAGTAGTCATAAGGTATGAGAAAAATGTTTGATAGCAAAGGCAAGCTGGGACAGCTTGGTTTAGGAAGTGTTTAAGATACAGCCCATGCGATCTTTGGGTGGAAGGGTGGGCCGTTCACTTCTTCATGGCTCCGCTGAAAACCGAGCTAGAATGAATTATTCTCACGCCAAACCAGACTCTATCATCAGCAATTATGTAATTACGCGTGAGACTGCTCAACTAGCCATGAAATACCTATGCTTAAATGTATTTCAACTACGCATATTATCATGAATGACGAATAGTGTTTAGATTTGGCGTCATTTGTGTTCAATTTACACCTGCATTCTGATAAAGTTTTCGCATTTTTTCTGAGCCCCTATGCGATTGTTGTTTGCCCCCGGAACAGGAAAATATGTCAGATGAATCATATTTATGCATTAAACTCATCACTCCCCAATTAAGAGACGTTACTTAGCAACTCAGGCGGCGCGTGGCTTCTACGATTTTGCGGTAAAAGACAAAGAGGAGGTATCATTCACATAATTTTAGTACATTTGAAAGCTTTCCATTGTCTATATTGTCCGCCTCTGATCCATATTTTTTCACAATTCTTATTTCATTTTGACAGACTTGATTTGAATTGTGATGTGTTTTCTTAAAGATTATTGAATCACATCATGATTTCGTGTGATTGGCTGTTGACAGACACGAACATAAACATTTAACCATCGTGCTTTATGATTATCATGTACTTGTTATCATGTTTCACTCGCTAAGCTTGATCCTGCGAGTTGCATGCGAATATGAACGACACTTAAGATACTCTTAAGTCTAGCGGTACAAAACACATAGTTTAATAGTAAAATTAAACGAGACTTAGCTGTAAGTTGAAGTTTGATTGAGATTCTACCGAGTTATAAAGTGCTGGGAGATTACATGAGATAGCAAGCTCATGTGCCAACTCAGTCTTTAAAAACTTAATGTGAGTGATTCAAGGCACCACACT